AAATAACAGCCGTGAGATATTATTTTTTCTAATCCCGTTAATGTGTTAGAGATTTAGTCGTCCCATGCATAAATGAAAAGAATTCAGCGAATTCAGTGGGAAGTTGGGTTTAATTTATGAGCGGTAAGCGTGAAAATAGTAGTTCATTATTTCCTTGCTTTTATCTTGCGAATCAATTGTGCTCGCGAATAGTGCCACGGCCACGCGAGTTTACCAACTTCGAATTCCACCGATTACGCGATAATTCATCGCCGAGCCGCACGCGAGTTCACCGATCGATGCCGAAATAATTTATTTAATCGGCGAATCATTCGATGCGCGAGGATACCTACAGTAATTTAATCGGCAGATCCGTATAGCAGAGAATGGCTTATAAGTACCGCGTTGTCTTTTGCCAAGAACAAAAATTGACAGGATGCTTTAATTTCCATTTATCTGGCGTGCTTTGTTCGCTCCTTTTTCAGCTGAATAAAATAGGCGATTCTGATGAAATCCCGTTCGAATTTGCAACGCCGTTCGCTGCCTATTGTCTCGTTGTTGCGTTACGCCGACGGCATTGTACGCCGACTTTCCATCGAGCTGTTCGGATTATTATTCCGCGGTTCCAAAGTACCGCAAATATGTTTTTAATACCTTTAAAAATAATGTTACGATCCGACACCTTGGCAAGTGGATTTTATATTTTATTTAAATTAATTCCTGATATTGGCTGATTTTATCGTGAAAGAGGAATTGGAATTTTTATTAAACAACTATATGCTTCAGATTTATTGCCACAGGCAATTATTACATTAAAATATTTATTATTTGAGAGAACTCGAATCTGCAGAAAATTTAGTAAAATATATGAAATGATAAGAGCTATTTTTTGTATATATAAAAATTACTTGCTTTGGAATTTGAAATAGATTGAAGAAATCATTCTCGAGAGAAATCCTAATGGTTTTCATTTCATCTGACGGAAACGGTTATAAGGCAATAATAGATTCGGCTGTAGGTTAATCTTTTTTCGCGGCGCATATTCCGTCGGCTTTCTATTGATTGATGGCTGAGGCAGATAGATAAAACATACACGTATATACCGGCGGATGCGCGGCGATAAAACCGAGCGATGCGTTTCATCAATAAAACCGTGACGTCTTGCCGGCAGAAAATTCCCGGTACCCGGTGGGATCTCACTGGAAACGATCCGACGGGTATTTTTAAGTTAGCCATAATCGTAATCAGGTCTTCTGTCAATCGATTGACTGTATAGCTCTCCACCTTGTTTCCTATTCACTTCAAATACTGATTGCTGGTTTTTATACTAAATCTAATATCGTATTATAAGTAATGAGATATCAAATCTCGCTTGAAATTCTGCTTTATCTTCAAAGATAATTCGTATCATACTTTTGATACGACACAGTGAATTTATTATTAATATTTTTTATATATTTAGCTTATCAGTGAATCCAGTCTGGTATTAACACTAGATTGCCCAAGGAAGTAATTTTGACTGGTTTTGGGCAAATGTACAAATAATAATGCATAAATTATTTTTTTTTCCCAAGTGAAGTAAATTTTTTTTATTGTTAACATTTACTAATAACTTGTTATATGACTGTAAATAATATAAAAAATATTAAAAATTAATTTTAGACAAATTTCTTTACACATTATTCTTTCACAATGCAGTCATTTTGACTGCTTTGGGCAATATAGG